ATGCACATAGCTACACATCAGCTATTTGAAAGAAATTTTCTGTAGTTATTTTGTGTGTTTAATATTAGAAATACTGTCCTCCCCATGACTAAGCAGAAATATAAGAGGATGAATGAAATCTGTGTGAAGTACATGCAATCATGCACAAGCTCGGTATCAAGCAGCTTCAAAGGTTCATTCAAACATTGCTATGTATTATACTACATTCTGGAGAAGACAAAAATAAGAATGAGATGAGATCTATGGAACTGGAAATCAGACTGGTGGACCTACACAGTCTGGTGGCTATTGAATTCCCTATTCTTCCCTCTCATGGTTCTCCATAAAGCTCCACCTCTTTATTGGTGTCTATGCTTGTTCCTCTTCTTCCACCCACCCTCTAAGTCAGTGGTTCTCTAAGTGTGGTCCCAGAAATAGCAGCATCTGCATTGTCTGGGAACTTGTTCAAAATGCAACTTCTCAAGCCCCAGTCCAAACCTACCAAATCAGAAACTATGGAAGTGGGACCCAGAAATCTGTGTTATACCAAGGCCTCCAGGTATTTCTGATGCACACTCAAGTTTGAATATGGCCATGGTTTGAATGTGTCTGCCAAAGTTCATGTATCAGAAACTTAATCCTTAATGCGTTAAGAGGTGGGACCTTTAAGAGGTAATTAGACCATGGAGGCTCTGCATTCATGTGTGGATTAGTTCTGTTATCCCAGGAATGGATTTCTTATAAAAAGATGAGTTTGCTCTCTCTCTATCTCTCTCTCCTCACTCCCCTCTTTCTCATGTGATGCCTTCTGCCATGTTATGATGCAGCAAGAAGGCCCTCAACAGCTGCCAGCACCTTGATTTTAGATTTCCCAGCCTCCAGAACTGTGAGGAAATAAATTTTGGTTTTTTGTAAATTACACAGTCTTTGGTTTTCTGATATACCAACACAAAATGGACTAAGAACTGATCTAAGTTTAAACACTGACTTAAATGTTGATTTCCAAAAGTTCCATTCACTGTCCTTTCCAGTTCTCACTCTCCATTTTTCTGGTTAGTTGGTACTTCTCTTACTGCCTCTTTATATATTACTGCAGATAATAATACCAACAATTGCCATTTATTAAGCATTTATAAGCTAGGCATTGTGCTAATCACTGTGCACCTTACTTACACTCCACAACAATTCTTTAATTCTGGTTAAGAAGCTGAGGGTTAGAGATGTTAAATAACTTGCCCAAGGGCACCCAATCAATACATGGCCTGACAGACACTTGACCTAAAGTCTTCCTAACTCCAAAGTCCACAAAGTTAACTACTATACTAAAATGTGCCTCTTAGAAGGATGGTATTCCCATAGCCTTAGTCAACCACATTACAATTGTTCCTTACTATCTCATAAATTAGGAAATAGAATTTTCAATTAGCTGGTGGATCTATTTAAACTCTCCATAGGAACCTTAAAATTAACATGCCATTTTTTCTTCTCTCCACTACAAACCTGTTCCTCCTCTTGTATTTTCTAATTTAATGTCACCATAATCAACCAGTTACTCAAGCTAGATATATCATCTTTGACTTCTCCTTCTCCCTCAGCTCCAGCTGGTCATGAAGTTTACAGATTTTAACATCTAAAATGTCTCCACAATCTATTCATTCCCCTGTCTTTCTTCAGGCTACCAACATCTCTCACCTACATTCTAACTAGTCTCACTACCTCTTTACTGCAATCTGCACATGAACTGTCAAATAACTTTCTGACCTGATTAGTTTATCTTCCATGACCCTTCACTGCCAATTCAATTGGGGGTAGGAGGGTAGGAGGGGTGGGGGAGCAGTCCAGACTTTTTAGAATGGAGTGGGAGACCTCACCCTCCTAATTTGACTCCAAAAATACCTTTTCTGTTTCATCACTTCTGCCACGCAAGAAGCTTACAAGAAACAACTTAAGATATTCCCCAAAACACCATTCAGTCTTAATCTTCAGCAACTCTGCTTAATGCTGTCCCCTCTGCCTGGAATGTTCTCTTTCGCTTTCACATGTGGCAAAATTCTACCTCCATGGGCTAAGTTGCACCCTCTTCTCCTCAAAGTTTTCCCTATCAATTTTTTCCGCAGCCAAAGTGATCTGCTCTCCCAGTACTTTATCATTCCAAAAGTGATTAACTTATCACAACATACAATGGTTAGTGGTTTATCTCCTCTGATGAACACTAGTATGTCAGGAGTGTACTGTGTCTTAGTCACCTTTGTCTTCTCAGCACCCAGCAGAGAGGCTAGCCAGAGCCAATACCCAATAAATATTTGCTAAGTTGTTAAATAATGCAACATTTGCTGTTGTAACTTTACATGTCTGGGTTAGCAATTTAACTTCAAGTTTACACACCACTCAAAATAATTTTCACATAACGAAAGGTGTATTAAAAGACCAATGGTTCAACATTCAGCAGCAATGTCTTTAATTATTCTCAAATCTTTGTCAATATTTTTGAGTATCTTTCTTCAGATAGACACCTTTCCCAAATAATATTATTTGTATTTTTTACAGAAGCAACAGTTAACTACAAACCTCACAGGCCACTATAAGAGATAATCTCAAGTAAAACTGTGTCATTGAGTGTGTCTGGATCACTATTTTTGGTACATCATTTCAGTAAATTTCCAAAAGAACATCTCAAGCAAATTAGGCAGATTTTAGAAATTGAGACTTGCACTGTGTATTAGTCTGTTTCTGTTGCTTATAACAAAATACTCAGAACCAGGTGATTTATAAGAAAACAAAATTTATTGCTCACAGTTTCGGAGGCTAGGAAGTCCAAAGTCTAGGGAACACATCTGATAAGGGTCTTGGTGGTGGCAACAGTGATGCAGGGTATCACATTGTGAAATGGTGGAGCAGAGAGAGCAGAGAGACTAACCTTCTCATTCACTCTCCTTTTAAAGCCCTCCAAACCACGTCCCTAACCACGATTATTAATCCATTCACTACCGCATGGTCCTACAATCTAATCACTTCTTCAAGGCCCTACCTTTCAATTACCATAATAGGATTTCCCACCCTCAACAGTTACAGTGGGGATTAAGTTTTGGGGGGACATTCAATCCAAGACACACTGCTGACTACCTGAGATACATGCACATCAGTGAGGCATTTATTACAATTAGTAACTGAAATCAAAACCATATAACAACCTGATCCTGGTTCAACCATAATATCCTTTAATTTTAAGTAAGGATAACACTCAGTCTTGTCTAAGACTCTATACAGGCCCTATCTTGTTATCAGCAGGATGCTGATAAGCCTGCCTTAGTACTTAACACTTTCCCTTCCCAACCTGCTAAGCCAACATTCCCCTATCAGAGACCTTCTGCTCCAGACACTAGACATGTGTCTCCTCAACATATCCCCCAATGACCAAATTCACATTATTTTCTCAGTACATTATTTCTTATCTTTTCTAATTCAAATTTTATACTTCTTTCAAAGACCAGCTCAAGCTGTACCTCTTCCAAAAAGTTCCCTCACTCAGTCTTTTCTAAATTTCTACTGCACTTAAAGTATAGTCCTCATATAGCACTTGTTTACACACTACCTCATTTAGCCTCGTAATTCTTTCATATACATATGCTTTCTTTTCCTAGCTAAACTTTGCTCTTCAAGGAAAAAACTCAGGCCTTCCATGCCATTTGTAATCTCACAATCCTCACACATCTAGCATAATACTGGGCAAAGGGGAGCACGTGTTATTAAGTACTTGAAGGACTGGACTAAATGCTTTCTACACATAGATATGCCACTTATGAACAGTGTGATATACGACAAATATCTATGTGCCTACTCTGTGGTAAGCACTTTTCTAGGTGCTGGAGATATGGTGAGGAAGAAAATAGAGATGATTTTTGTCCTAAAAGTTACTGTAGTCCAGAGAGGAAGAGACCTTGAATTCTGAGTACTCTAAGTGTTACAGAGCAAGGTTCCAAGACGTAACACACTTTACAAATCCTCAGTTTTGAAACTGAATCACCGAAATTTAGAACTGAGTGGATATTATGGAGTTAGTTTCTTGCCCAAACCTCCCAAGGATGGTGACCACAACCACCACATTTCTACCCATGAGGTAGTCCAGCAAACTGAGAGGTCTGGGCTGATGATTTTGCTGCACCTTTACATTCTGACTTCTCTGATCGACATTTTCCAGCTCACACATTGAAAGGAATCTGTATTTTCTGCCCAGTACTACTTCTAGGAAAAACAAAAACTAGTGCTTCCATACTTCCTTGGCCCTAGTAATGACAAAAGAACACACAGTTCTCGGAAATATAACAGCAAATTTGGTCTATAAGGAAGTAGCAACTGAGGATGGATATCAGCCACTTGGCCTCACAATCTGTGGCAACAACGTGATAAAATGCCAAAGAAGCACGTGCACATACATGTGAGGTTGGAAACTCCTGGCAACAGGTTGCCTGCCGCACATCTATGCTGACGCCTCCCCTAGGTCGTGGGTGTGTCTGACGCCGCACACAGGCAATGATTCACAACTCTCTCCATAACAACCGTCTCCTACTCGGAGCCAGGGCAGGGGCCATGAGGGCCCCAGTATCCCAAACTTTCCGAACCCCAACCCCGGGGTCCCCAGTTTCGTTTTCTTTTGGTCTTAGGCAACCTTGTCTCAAGCCGGATGCGAGGCTTCTCGGGGAAACCGGGATGTCCGGATTCGAACTCCTCCGTTTGGGAGCCTGGCAGAGCCACCCCGAAGGCCCCCAGACACCTACTTCCCACTGCACCTTCTAGGACTACAAGTCTTCCCCGGGCCCTCGCTACCGCTTCCCAGAGCTCCCGGGCCCAAGAACTGGCCCTCGTCAGCCCACGTCCCGGCTCCTTCCCCGCCCCCGGAAAAAGCGGCTGAGGGGCGTGGAGCGGCGCGCACGGGTACGGTTGGGGCGCGCATTACCGCGCCCCGGGCCCGCGCAGCAGGTGAGGCCAGGCCCCACCTCCCCTGTGAAGCCCCGGCTACTCACCCCAACGATGTTCCTCTGCGACCTAGCCGCCGGCACAGACGCCTCTTCCGCCTGCTCCGCACCCGCCTCGTAGCCACCGCCCCCTCGGCCGCTGCCGTCGCCGCCGTCCTCGCCGCCGCCGCGGCGCGCGTCCGCTCTCACGCACACCTCCGTGGCCGCGCACGCGCCTCTGCGCGCTGGCGTCACATAGCAACCGAGCGACCGCCGGCAGGCGGGGTCTCCGGGGATAGGGCCCCCGGTTGTCTCAGGCTCGTTCCGCGGCTTTTCTTCATCCGCGTAGCCACCGCCCCCTCGGCCGCTGCCGTCGCCGCCGTCCTCGCCGCCGCCGCGGCGCGCGTCCGCTCTCACGCACACCTCCGTGGCCGCGCACGCGCCTCTGCGCGCTGGCGTCACATAGCAACCGAGCGACCGCCGGCAGGCGGGGTCTCCGGGTATAGGGCCCCCGGTTGTCTCAGGCTCGTTCTGCGGCTTTTCTTCATCCGCCGGACGCTCCGCCTCCCGGAGCAGAGGGCTTCTGGGTGTGGCTTCTGCCGGCACCTGGCTCCGGGTAAGTCTCGTCACCGCACGTCACTATATGCCGTCACCGGTGCAGGTTGCTGCGGATGGAAAGGATCAGGGCGCCTACGGTGGGGAGAGCAGTGGCCTCGTCCAGACTGGCGCGGACCCGGTGGGCAAGTTCTGCGAGGTGCGGGAAGGTTCTCCAAGGAGTGTCGAGGCTGCTGAGTGACACTCGTTAATTTAGCGGCAGGTTGTGGTGGGCCGAAACTTGTATTCGCCTGATTCTCAGTTTCCTCATTCCGCAAATGAGTGTAACAGTACCCGTCCTGCCAGCATTTGGAGAGTTATGAGGCTAAAACGAAATAATGTACGCAAAGGTATAAAGTATAAAGCCCATTCGACTCTAAATTATCTGTCTCATAAGAGAAGACAGTCGAGCAAGAGCAGGGAAGATCGTGGACTTTGGAGTCCTAGAAATCTGGGTGCAAATCTGACCCTGGCTGATGTTGGAGAATCAGTTCTTCTTGGCTCTGAGGCAAGCTGGGGGACCGGGGTGAGAGGGTTGGGGGACACCAACTGGGAAGGACTTAATTGCAAGAAGCTTCATGAATAGAGATAGAACATGTAAATGGATAAGAAGAGCAAGGATTGGAGGCAGGGAGACCCGTTTTGAGGCCATTGCAGTACTCCAGACAAGAAGTGATGAGAACCTTAACCAAGGCACTGGCAGTGGGAATGTAGAAGAAGAGATAGATGTGAGTGCTGTGAAGGTGATAGAATTAACAGCACCAAGTAGGGGATAAATGAGTAGGCCAAGTTACTAGTATAGGTGCTGGAGCAGATGGTAACATTTAGCAATATGGGAAGAAAGAGTAGTCTAGATTATCCATAGGTATCTAAGTTATGAGATAGTGGTGGTAACATTCCTTAGGAGGACAACAGATGTGCAAGGTGTGATGAGTTCAAATAGGGATATGTTTGTTAGGAGAAACACTTATTCTGCACTCTCAATGTCTCCCTCCGTATGGAGTAACATCCATTAGTATTATATTCCCAGCTTCTCGCTGCACCTTTCTCCAGCTCACTCCTTTTTGAACGAATGGCTTTCTGATTGGTGAACTTAAAAGGAGAAACTGGACATGTGAAGTCCATCCCTTTCTTTTTTTTTTTTTTTTTTTTTTCCTTTCTGTCTTTTTTCATGACCGGTAACGGGATCGCGACCGGCAACGGAATCGCAACCCTCGGTGTCGCACCCGCGCCGCGCTCAACCAGTGAGCGGACCGGTATCTATATGGGATCCGAACCCTCCGCAGGAGCGCCACCGCGCTCTCAAGTGCCGCACTCTACCGACTGCGCCACCAGGCCGGCCTGATCCCTTTCTTTTTCTATTAAAAGAGAGCTGCCTTCAGGGAACTGTCATGGTGTTCTCTCCTTCTCCAGAAGCAAGGCCTGTGGGTGGGGGTGAGGGTGCCTAGTCCAGGGCTACAAAGCAAGTAAACCTATTTAATTCCAGAGTTTGGTGTTAGGAAGTTCTCTGTCCACAGGTAATATCCGATACCAACTTTGTCAGTTGTGTCATACAGAATAATGGCCCCCCCAAAATATCCACATCCTAACCTCTGGAACCTGTAAATATGTTTCATTACATGGCAAAAGGGACTTTGCAGATGTGATTAAGTTATAGATCTGGAGAGATTATCCTGGATTGTCTGGCTGGGCTGGAGGCAGCAGGGTCAGAGTTAGAGAAGGAGATGGGATGATGGAAGCAGAGGTCAGAGATTTGAAAATGGTACACTGTTGGCCATAAAGATGAATCTAAGGAATGCAGGCACCTTGTAGGAACTGGAAAAGGCAAGGAAATGGATTCTTCCATAGATCCCCCAGAAGGAACGCACCCCTGCCAGCACCTTGATTTTAGGACTTCTGACCTTTAGAACGGTAAGATAATAAATTCATATTGTGATTTGTTAAAATAGCAATAGACAACTAATACAGGTGGTAATGAAGATGATAGTTGGTTTCCTTTATCTGGAAAAGGATACAATTGATTAGCTCCCTCAAAGATACGGCAATATGACTGTGACCTGATGGAGATTTCTCCACATCCAGAGACAAATGTCCAATAAATTACTTAGGTCTATGAGTGAGGAGAGAAGTTGAATTGAAATATAATAGTTTGGAAGGATATTAACCTATAATTGGTAATTTAAGTCCTAGGCATGGATGAGATCAGTCACAGAGAAAATATAGAAGTAATGAGGACCAAGGATAGAACCTCCAGGTAGCACTAACTTTACAAAGAGGTGGTACATCATCAGAAGCCCACAAAGAAGTCTGAGGACGAATGGCCAGACAGATAAAAGGAGAACTAGGTGAGGGGAATGCCTCTGAAACCAGGATAGGAAAGAATTACAAGATGGAGAGGGGTGAACAGAGTCAGAGACCATCATAGGTCAAGTATATCAAGGGCTGGAAAGCATTGACTAGATTTTGCAACACAAAAGTGATTGGTGACCAACAATAGCAGCTTGGTATGGTAGTGGAGATAGACACCAAATCACTGGGGTCTGAAAGGCAGGTCAGTATAATGGATTGGCCTCTGGACTGGTTGATGGGATATTGAAATTCTAGTCTTTGTTCTGGCCATTAACTAGGTAGATAACCTTGAGCAAATTACTCAACTATTCCAGGCTTTAGTTTTCTCATCTATCAAAGGAAAAGATCAGACCAAATGGGTAATTTCCACATTAATTCCTAGATAATCCCCCCAACTTTATATTAGTTTCCTTTGCTTATAACAGCACACTTCAAATGCTACTCAGATCATTTAGCAAACATTGAGAGTCACTACATTCTGTGCCCGCTTCTGTCCAGATACTCTGGCTATGACACAGTTACTCAAGAAACTTACAGTTTGGAGAGAGAGAGAAACACCTAAGTATATAATAATCTGCCATAAGTTTTTTTTTTTTTAAAGGTAAGGTATAAATGTACTGTAACTATAATACAGTATACTACATGCTATAATAGAATCTGTGTGAAGAGAAATGAGGGACATATAAAGTGATATAAATGAGAGAGCAATCAGTTCTGCCTAATGGAAGTCAAGGTGTATTTACCCACACTGTCAGGCACAAAAATGCCGCAAAAATGGACACAAATATACCAAAGCATTTCCATGGGAATGAAAAAGATCAGGAGAGTTGTGCTAAGCCAGTGATGTCACTTTAACATACCTTCCAGGTAGTTTTGTTGTGATCTGAGTTGATATTTATGTACAACTATTTCTAAACTAAAATTGTTTAGTTGGAAAAAGTGGACACAAGTAAAATTTGGGTGCAAGAGTAATTTATTTTTCCACCAAATCCAAGAAGAAACATATTTATTATAAATGCAGTGCTCTAGTGCATTTACTTATCTAACCCTCATATATTGTCTTATTTAATTTCACAAACGTTAGCTTATTGTATTGACCACTGACATATCTCAGTTTTAGCAGATGGGATGCAAAGTTTAAATAATTTGGCCAAAGTCATAATGCAGTTACGAAGTAGACCAAGATTTCAACCCAGCACAAGCATCGTCTCTCCAGGAAACCTTCCCTCAGGCTCTTGGTTGGTTTAAGTTCCTCTGTACTATTAGCATAATGTGCACACATTTATTTCAACATTTACTGTAATAATAATGATGTTTACTGTGTGCCAGCTACATAGTACCTATACCCATGTTACCTACATTTAAGTGTGTTATGGGCATTAGCTCATTTAAGCCTTATAACAGCCCTTTGAAGTAGGTGGTATTAATCACAATATATTATAAATCAGGAAGCTAAGGCACAGAAAGGTTAAGTAATTACTCAAGGTCACACAATAAGTGATGCAGCCTAGATTAAAATCTAAATAGCTGGGTGCTAGAATCCATGCTTTTAACCCCTAGACTGCTACCTTCATACCTTGTACTCTCTGCTTACATCGAGGGATTCTAGAAGACATAGCTTACAGAACTCACCAGTGCATTTCCTGCAGGGTTGTGTGTGATATCACTCTATGTTCCTTATGAGAACTCAAGAGAATTTTCTCTCTGAGCCAAAACTCCTGAAACATTTGGCTGTCCTGGAATAACTGATGTGTTTTCTCTTAATAGGCAAAGTGGATTATATTGTGGCTGTTTTTCCTTTTTCACTTAGACTGCCAAGAAGCTCTGAGTAAATTTGTCAGCTTAGCATTTGTAACTGGATGGATTGGCCTGCATATTTGTATTCTGTTGGTTTGAAATTTTTCAAAATACATAGGGGAAAAAATAATCTAATTTTTTGTTCTAAATTGTTGACAATGTACATTTTATAATTAGAAAAAATAAACTTTGTTTTTAAAAGAATGTTTGCATCTTCGAATGATTTCTCATGCTTTAATTCTGTGAATGAGAACTAGTTTCAGGTTAAGTTGCATGTGTTACATATAGAATCCTAGTTCTTATAAAACCAGGATTTCTGTATGACCTTGAAAGTCCATATCAATAGAATTGTTGTTCATACAAATCAGAAAGTATTTCAAGTAGCATAAAAT